TAAAGTCATTAAAGGGCAACAGCTAATGCAAACAATTCAGTGTTCTCTTTATAGATCTGCAGGCGTTCTAATAGAGTACAGAAACAAAGCAGAGATTTTACAGGCAGGAAAGGATATAAAAGGAGAAATTTTACTTTAAACAAAGCCTTTGCATGCAGCGCGGGCTAAGTCAATACTATCAGCGTGTGATTAATCAGCTTAAGGCTGGAACATTCTCCTTTGATGATCAATTTCTTCAAGCCTGGCTCTGACAGTCAATGGCGCTCCACCCGCTGGGGAATGCGGGTAACTTGGACGCATTGCAGTAATGAAACACAATAGGGTAATGTATCTGTGATGGTAATGGTCGGGGAGGGGGGAGGAGGACTTTAATTGAGGACTAGGGCACAGAGCAAGGTATTGTTATCAGCGAAGTGCACTGGTCTGTAACCAAAAGCAACGTAGTAACATTTGTTTCCCGTGTTCACTTTGAACTCCGTCAATAAAGCTACGTGCTTGAAGGCCCGAATGGTTATCAAAGTTGCGCACTTTTGTTTTTTGTTTTTTTTTACAGTACTCAGTCTGAATGGGATAAACCACATAGGCCCATTTTCCTAGATGCCCTGTAATGCCAGCTGAGATGTCATATAGAGCACCCACCCTTGGCACGTAGTAAGCCACCACCGCAGCTAGCAGGAAGATCGTTGCTCCCAGTTGACATGCCTCACCTCCTTCAGCATTCTTCATGCTGATGCTTTAGGCAAGTCCTGCGAGGTGGAGACAGGCACTCGCTATAAAAGTGGCCATCTCCTTGCTAGGTGTGGTATTGAGCAACTCTGCTCCAAGGATGGGGCACCTTGTCCAAAATCGCAGCTAGTGGTAAAGAAACCCTAAGAAGATTGGACAATGTACTAAATCTACTTAATCCCAATGAGAATTGAATACTGTAAAAAAAAAAAAAGTGATAGTGGGCGATAGTAGTTCTTGTCTGTTGGATTTCAGCTACAGAACTGGGGCCCAACCCACATGGGAAGGTGACATAAACAAAGGAAACCGAAAACCAAATGACTGTTTCAGTGTCCATGTATCTTCTTGACAGTGAAATTACAACCAGTAGAAAAATGGTAGCCAACACGCACTGGCAGCCAAAGGGTTTCCCACTATCAGGGATCAAAAACGTTTGCTAGAGTTCCAAAATTTACTGTGAGCGGTCCCACTGCAGGGATGGGGCACCCTATCCGCCATTGCGGCTAGCATTACAGGAGCCCTAAGAAGATTGGACAGCTGCTCAGAAGACTCACAGAATGGAAGCCCATCCCACTTGGGAAGGTGACATAAACAAAAGAAACCAAAAACCAAACTATTGATTCAAAGTCTATGTATCTATGATTCTTGGTCATGAAATTACAACCAGTGGGAAAATGGTAGCCAATGCACATTGGCAGCCAAAGGGTCTCTCTTCATCAGGGTTCAGAAACAGTTCCAAAATTTGCTGTAATCGAACCTCCTAGTAAATGGCTGTGTTCCTGGGAACACCACCACACAGCTATAAAGCTCCACATAGCCTCCTAGGTTTCCATTTAAGATATCTATTTTGGAGGTTTGGTTGCGGAACATTTTGGAACTCTAGCAACCATTTCTGAGCCATGTTGAAGGGGGATCCTTTGGCCCCCGAAATGCATTGGCAGTTTTTCCATTGTGATTTCCTTGGCAAGAATTAAAGATACACGGACTCTTCAACTGATTTTTTGGCACTTTGTTTCTTCTGCTCATGATGTTTTCTCAAGTGGGGCCACATTTTTTTCCTTGCTTGAATGAAAGAACATACATTCATTGAGACAAAGTAAATCTTAACAACCAATCAGAATTTTCATTTTACAGGTTTTACTCAGTAAATTTGACCTGTGAATGAATAAATTGATGTGATAGCTTTTATTAGGTTTTCATAAACCTGATAGAGATAGCTAAGAGGTAGCTATGGTCACTTTCTGCCTAACCCCAAATCGTAAAAATTCCATGCTCCAACTGATAAAAGGTCTATTTCTCCTTCTGCCTAGACATGAGATAAGGTAAGAGCAATACTAACCTTAACCCTCAGTCTGGCAACAGCTGGCAATCCAGTCCTCCTCTCTCCAGTGCTGGAATAGGGATGAACCCTCCTGCATCCTCATGTACAATCCAAGACCAGTGTTGGTCCTTCCAGTCAATGGGAAGAATGTCTCTTACATTGGTGGTCAGTGAGAAGAAGGTCCTGCCTTGTACATGATGACATCATAGAGCGGGGCAGTAACAACACCAATCAGAGACAGGCAAGAAGAAAGGAACTGTTAACACAACCGCAACAGGCAGAGAAGGAGACCAGGGGACTGTGGATTAATTACTATGTGGATCCCACCCAAAAATAAGCATTGGCCCCTTTATCTGCTAATAAGGGCCAGGATAATATATTTTGGAACTGCTCGAAAACAGACTTTAACAGGTTGTTACAATTACTGCCTAACAGGGGCGGACTGACCATTTGGAAACTCGGGAATTCCCGAGGGCCCGGGGTCAGTAGGGGGCCCCATGAGATGCCCCTAGTACCTCTTCCATAGGATTTTTTGAGTTTGGGCAAAGACACAGGGGCCCCATGGTCCCTTATTGCCTGGGGGCCCCATGAGTTGTCAGTCCGCCCCTGCTGCCTATATACAAGGGGCGGCATGGTCTGGTGTCTGTGGGATTGGGTTGTATTTAGTACAACTGTTACTATGGGAAAATGGAGGTAAGAATTTAAAAAATACCAACATGTCTGTCTGATTGAATATCTATTTCTACAACTTCAATGGGGCTTTAAAAATTCCATTGTGAACAAATACATGGAGGGAAGGGGGGGAGGGAGGTGTTGCCCTCAGCAACTAGCCATCTTTATCCTTGAATTTATTCACTAATGTATGGAGATTGTTCTGAAGTTCAAGATACAGAAGATGCAGCTGCAGGAATAATAGGAGAGCACAATCTCCAATACATATCATCTGCAGCTGCAGTCCATTGTCACCGCTGCCTCCCTGCTCTCCACTTATACCGGCTGTTAGAGACACATTCTGAAACTGGAGGAGACTCCAGAGGACTAGCAGGAGGTAGAGGATGGAGATCATGGGTCTTCGGTGTCAGTTCCATAGCCGCAATATTCTCGGGTGTCTGTGTTGAGGTCAGGCTGGAGTCTTTAGCACACAGCATAAAGAATATGGGTTTTATCTTTGAGAGGACGCTGCAAACAACTTCCAATCCCAGCTGTTAAAGAGCCCCAACCCTCCAAAAAAAACCTTTCCTGTACCCCAGTTGGACATGCTGCCTACTGTGGCAAATGCCTAATTGCCATTCATTTCTGTGGACACTTGGGTTTTAATCTTTGTCACTTTGTAAACTTTTAAATCTTTCTCATTGCTCCCCAAATCCAAGGAGAAATAGTCAAGGAGCATGCCACATTTTGACAAAGGGCACGCTAACTGGAGGTGAAAGCTGAGGAGCTCATCACTGCGCTGCTTCTCCTTTCACTGTCCAGACAAAGGCTGCGGACAGCGTCCATGACAGCCTGGACTCAGAGAAAGCAGGTTGAATTATGCTGTGCGTCATTCAACCTAAAAGACTATGGACATCTAGTGGTGGATAAGACGTATTGCATGACTCAGCTGTAGATTGAAAGCGGTTATTGCAGAAAAGCTTGTGTATTATAATAATAAAAAAAATAGTGCAGCGCTATAAAAACAATATACTTATCAAATATCAAGTGAATAAATCTATAAATATATAAAACATGGAAAAAGCCATCAGAAAACACACAAGAAAACAGTAAAATAGTGATAAGATCAATGTAGAACTATTTAGTGTCAAAAAACTCTAAAGTGACCATTTTTTTTACGCTAAATAGATCTACATTGATCTTATCACTATTTTACTGTTTTCCTGTGTGTTTTCTGATGGCTTTTTGCATGTTTTATACATTTATGGATTTATTCACTTGATATTTGATAAGTATATTGTTTTTATAGCGCTGCACTATTTTTTATTATTATATTACACAAGTTTGAAAGGTATTAGCTAAGAGTGTTGGCTGCTTTAATACACCCTGATCACTCCAATTAAGCGCAGGAGGAATTTTTTAGTTGATTGCAGAAAAAGCTGCTTTTTCATCCTTTTAATTCCTTTTTTTAAACCAGAGTTTCTCTGTAAGGTCTTTGCATAAGTTGACTGTCTTCAACACGGTTTTTACACGTTAGGATTAAAAAATGCCCATATATATTTATCCTAAGGGCTCTTGACTATGTAGAACAGCCTCTCTCAACACTTTTAACACAGAGGAACCTTTGAGATGACTTTCAGTTCTCAGGGAACCCCTGCTATTAATAACTGTATCTACAGCTCATGGAGCATTAACATGAACAGTAAGTTTTGTCGATACAGTATAACAATAAATTAAAGATTAGCTAAGTTATGGGTTGACTTACTAAGACTGGAGAGTGCAAAATCTGGAGCAGCTCTGCATAGAAACCAATCAATCAGCTTCTAACCTCAGTTTGCTCAATCAAGCTTTGACAATAAAACCTGGAAGCTGATTGGCTTCTGTGCACCAGATTTTGCACTCTCCAGTTTTAGAAAATCAACCCCATAGTGTATTTGACACGCAGTGCTGCTCCATATGACAAAAGTATTTTCAGTAACAATAAATAAATAAAACAAAATGGTCAGAAAAGAAGTACATACTATTAAGATTGTAGTGTCCCCTTATATTGATGGCCAGTGATGTGCCCATTTATACTGGCCATGGCCATGATGTGCCCATTTATACTGATACTGATGGCCAGTGATGTGCCCATTTATACTGATGGCCAGTGATGTGCCCATTTATACTGATGGCCAGTGATGTGCCCATTTATACTGATGGCCAGTAATGTCCTCTATTATATTAGTATTACACAGAGAACTGTGTCCACTTAGATTGGTGGTATGTGGGGAAAAGACCCACTTACAATAATGGTTTGAGACTCCACTACATTGGTGATCAGTGGGAAGAATGTCCCTTACATTGGAGGTCAGTGGGAAAAACGTCCCTCACATTGGTGATCAGTGGGAAGAATGTCCCTTACATTGGTGGTCAGTGGGAAGAATGTCCCTTACATTGGAGGTCACATTGGTGGTCAGTGGGAAGAATGTCCCTTACATTGGAGGTCAGTGGGAAATGAATGTCCCCCTTACATTGGGGGTCAGTGGGAAGAATGTCCCTTACATTGGAGGTCAGTGTCACATTGTGTGGAAAGAATGTCCCCTACATTGGTAGGTCAGTGGGAAGAATGTCCCTTACATTGGAGGTGGTCAGTGGGGAAGAATGTCCCTTACATTGGAGTGGTCAGTGGGAAGAATGTCCCTTACATTGGTAGTCAGTGGGAAGAATGTCCCTTACATTGGGGTCAGTGGGAAGAATGTCCCTTACATTGGGGGTAAGTGGGAAGAATGTCTCCTTACATTGGGGGTCAGTGAGAAGAATGTCCCTTACATTGGGGGTAAGTGGGAAGAATGCTCCTTACATTGGGGGTCAGTGGGAAGAATGCTGCTTACATTGGTGATCAGTGGGGAGAATGGCCCTTACATTGGAGGTCAGAAGAGGAGAATGGCCCTTACATTGGAGGTCAGAGATCAGTGGGGAGAATGGCCCTTACATTGGAGGTCAGAGGGAGAGTGTCCCTTACATTGGAGGTCAGAGAGGAGAGTGTCCCTTACATTGGAGGTCAGAGAGGAGAGTGTCCCTTACATTGGAGGTCAGAGTTTCCCTTACATTGGTGGGCAGTGGGAAGAATGTTCCTTACATTGGATGTCAGAGAGGAGAATGTCCCTTACATTGATTGTCAGCGGGAAGAATGCTCCTTACATTGGTGGTCAGAGAGGAGAATGTCCTTTACATTGAGGTCAGAGAGGAGAATTTCCCTTAGATTGGAGGTCAGAGAGGAGAATTTCCCTACATTGGAGGTCAGAGAAGTGAATTTCCTTACATTGGAGGTCAGAGAGGAGATTGTCCCTTACATTGATTTCAGTGGGAAGAATGCTCCTTACATTGGTGGTCAGAGAGGAGAATGTCCCTTACATTGAAGGTCAGAGAGGAGAATTTCCCTTACATTGGAGGTCAGAGAGGAGAATTTCCCTTACATTGGAGGTCAGAGAAGTAAATTTCCCTTACATTGGAGGTCAGAGAGGAGAATTTCCCTTACATTGGAGGTCAGAGAGGAGATTGTCCCTTACAATGATGGTCAGTGGGAAGAATGCTCCTTACATTGGAGGTCAGTGTCAGTGATAACGTCCTAAGAGGCAGAAATTACTCAGTGCTCAAGGAACCCCTAGCTCAGTGTTTCTCAATTCCAGTCCTCATGGACCCCCAACAGGTCATGTTTTCAGGATTTCCATTATTTTGCACAGGTGATTTGATCAGTTTCACTGCCTTAGTAATTACCACAGCTGTTTCATCTGAGGGAAATCCTGAAAAACATGACCTGTTGGGGGTCCATGAGGACTGGAGTTGAGAAACACTGCCCTAGCTGAACCTTAGCATTCCACAGAGTCCTGGTTAAGAGAGGTTGGTGTAGAAGAAAATAATCCCTGTACCTAAAATTTATGTAGCTTACTTAATTCCCAGGAGCCCAGGGAGCCAGGATATACTTCCCAAATAGAGGATGCACCCCTTGCCTTTGCCAACCCGTTCTGTAAATACCAGCGTCTCTTTTCTGTACTCTATTGTTTGAAGCAAAGTGACAGCAATAAAATGAAATAATGTATTGCATGTTTATACAAAAAAGAACACCTATAAAAGTTCAGTGTTGTTTTTCCTGCATATTTTGAGAGCAATTTACAACGACTGGAAAAAAAAACAAAAACATGAATTTAATACGGCATAATTACAGTATAAATTAAAAGCTGCCACTTGCTGTCGCTACACATATTTAATCCATGTTCCTATTATTTAATGTCCCCCTGGGCTTGACGGGTAAATAAATAAACAGGAGCCGGATGATTTATATTCTCCAAAGGCAAATTAGGTTGATGCAGGAGCTTGTTTATGAGGCTTCATTCCCTCAGATCAGACAGCTCGGTTGTCTCCTGCGTTTGCCGCACTATGAGTGCCAGCAATTCTTCAACTAAATGGACCCCGTGGGAGCTGGTTTAAAATAACTAAATTGAGACAGTTAAAGTGGAACTCCAGGAAGATCTAGGATGTAAAATATTTTTGATGCTCGAAAATTCTTTTCTCCTGAGGGTACTTCAGGGGACCCCATTGGTGGTGATCCTTCAAGATAGTAATAGTTGTGCTGCTTTTAGTGTCTTTGAACTGCCAGTGACATACTGACGTTAACTGCAAGAGGATCCCTCCAGTGACATCAATGCTGGTCGACACACCCAACGTTCAAGACTTTAAGCCCCCAGCTTGAAATGATAAAATGTTTAAAATCCTTAAAAACTTATGCAGATAAAGCCCATTGTTGTGTGTACCATGTGGGAGACTTCCCTTAATTTCCTGTCTTTGAGACACAAATGGAAGTCTCTTTAAAATGAGGTGAGGGAAGGAGGATGGGCAGACTGGAGAGGAAGGAGAAGAAGCAACATCCAACTGCTGTGCTCCTGCTCTTTCCCCTCGGGGGGAGGATAAGGGTGCCATAGGGTTGCCGATCCTAGCCCCAACACAGAAGAATTTTAGCAGGTCAGTGCAGGCCCAGAGGAACACTTTGGGGGTCAGTCTACCCCTTGGTCCCTCCCCTGCTTAGCTCAAGAAGAGTAGCAGGTCTACAGAGAGTGAGTGCCTCACTGCAGGAGATACAAGCAACCTTCAGCAGGGCCTAGAACCAAATGTTCCCTGCTGCTGATTGAACTGTGTTGGGGTCTGCAACCTGAGTAGGTTCATGTTATTAATTGTGGTTCTCCAGTAAAAGAACATCAACTACCATGTGGTTCCTTTATTTGGTCACTGTGCTTGATATGATGAGAGTGGGAGAGTTCTACTGATGTCCCCTGGCTAACAGGCCTGAGAAAGGTGAGGCCAGGGTTTGGAACCCCATGGAGTGAGGGAAGGGTGTTGAGGGGGTCGGTCTCTGCCCACCACCCATACATCAGGAAGAGTTATGGGCAGAGGTAATGTATTGCCCAGAAGGTCAGTTAACATTGGGGTTCAGCTCGGCTGCTCGCCATCCACTGACACGGTGACAATTGTACAATTTTGGATTTTCCACCAGGACAAATAGAGAGGGTGCTACAACCACTGCCGTGCGGTAGTGCGGCATTTAGGCAAAATAACACCTTCTCACCACCTGTTAAATGCCTCTGAAAACCAATCTGACTGCAAATAGTGTACACAAGGCCTTATTGTCTGCTGCTTGGCAATGCAGCTTGTGTTGGAGCTAAACAAGGAAAAAAAACAATACTCTAACACAGGGGTCTGCAACCTTTAAGACATAAAGAGCCACTTGGACCCGTTTCCGAGAGGGAAAAAAAGACTGGGAGCCGCAAAACCATTGCAACATTTAAAACAAATCCGACACTGCATATATTGCAAAAAGCGCTCTGGTCATGAAGGGGGTTTAAGGGCCCAGTAAGCAAAGGGTTAATCAGGGCCACAGTGTATCGTCATAATCACAATCATAGCCTTAGCAGTGGTGGGCAACCTTTTTTTTCAACTGAGCCAAATCTCGCCAAAACCACAATTGAAATTTATTTTGAGAGCCACATTTTTAAAACTGAAAATACATCCCCCATATAGTAATTCATCCCCTATAGTAATTCATCCCCCATAGTAATTCATCTCCCATAGTAATTCATCCCCCCATAGTAATTCATCCCCCATAGTAATTCATCCCCCATATAGTAATTCATCCCCTATAGTAATTCATCCCCCATAGTAATTCATCCCCCATATAGTAATTCATCCCCCATAGTAATTCATCCCCCATATAGTAATTCATCCCCCATATAGTAATTCATCCCCCATAGTAATTCATCCCCCATAGTAATTCATCCCCCATATAGTAATTCATCCCCCATAGTAATTAATCCCCCATGTAATTAATCCCCCATAGTAATCCCCCCATATAGTAAATCATCCCCCATATAGTAAATCATCCCCCATATAGTAATTCATCCCCCATATAGTAATTCATCCCCCATATAGTAATTCATCCCCCATAGTAATTCATCCCCCATATAGTAATTCATCCCCCATATAGTAATTCATCCCCCATAGTAATTCATCCCCCATTAAGTAATTCATCCCCCATATAGTAATTCATCCCCCCTATAGTAATTCATCCCCCATATTAAGTCCCCAAGTCCCCCCTGTGTCAATTCACTTACCTTTGCTCCGCGCGTTCCTCTCGTATCTGCGCATGTGCCAGTTTCAGGCATTAGCAGCCGATCGGCGATCTCCGGCACATGCGCAGATACGTCGAGGGGGACAGATCCTCATAGGAGACAGATTTTCATGCTACACCGGTCTTCAGGGCGGACTGTGAGAGGAGCCTAGCGGGAGCCTAGCTCCGCGGGCCGGATTAAAAGGTACGCCGGGCCGTAGTTTGCCCATTGCTGCCCTATTGCCTGTCACCTGGTGGGCAGTGTGCTCCGGAGCCGCAGCCAAGGTTGCTGACATTTCCTTTCTCTTGACCACACTAGTTTGTATAGTCCATAAAATAATTTATTCTGCAATAAAATCCAACGTGTTTCGGGGCTCAGCACTCCTCCTTCAACAGGGCCTCTAGACCAATAACATAGTTAAAAGGATACCACCCTTGACTAAGTTGGACCCCAAATAGATGTGTATAGATCATGCAGTTTCATGGAAGGAGACTTGGAAGGAGAGTCTTTTTCTTGACTTAGAGCAGCTTGGTTAGAACATGCAGAGGAGGGGGAGTGACCACATGCAGGATCCAGAATTTAACACCCATGTACATGTAATACTACCCTGAGGAGTCGCTAGAAGATTTGGGTCTCCCTATAGTCCTGCACCTTTTCCATTCAGGCTTGCTTCAGGAGACAGAGAACCAGTCCTTGAGCTTTGTTTTTAGGTTTTATTGGGGATATAAAACTTGGATAGGGTAAGGGGTGTATGGGATGCCCAAGGGTAATGGCAACAGAGGACAAATCCTTTTGAACTATATTACAAGTCTTTACACAGAAATCCTTTTCTTGGAGAGCTCTTCAGCTTCTCCTGGTGTACCACCCAACACCCCAGATCAGTCTTCTTATCCAGTTGTCTGGAGGATTCCCTGAGCAAGCTGCCACTTGAGATGTAACAGTCCTGGGTGTAGACCTAATCAGGTTCCCCACCCAAATGCCCTCTCTCCCTTTTTCGGCTCAGGGGGTGTAGGAGTACTCACTGAGTCCTTCTCCTGTGCTGCTGTTGGGTAGGTGGCTTACACCAGGCCTATCATTTGGGCTGCTCCTTCCCTGCTGCCAGGTGGTCCTATCTCAGGGGGCCAGCGAAGTCCACAGCTTTCTTCCCCTTCAGGCTCCCTCTGCTTGGAGGTGAGCCCCTTCCAGCCTGGGCTCCCTCCCAGACTCCTGCACCTCAGCCTCGCTTCTCCATCTTTCACCCAAACTCTCCCCCCTCCCACGCTCCTGCTACTGAGC